GTATACAGAGATGATTGAGGGATAAGTGTGAATGGTTTCACTTTAAGTGTGAAGACTCACAGTTAAAGCTGTGAGAGAACTTTCCCTTCCCTTCTTTCTGCTCACATTCCAGTCAGAAAAGGTCTAAATATCAGGACTTTTTTCCTGAATGTTTTCTCACATCAAAAGAAACGTCTGATAAAGTTCAAGCCTAAAAGCCATCAGCTCTGGAGGCTTTTATCTGCCACGCTGCAGAGAAACAAACACACCTTGTCCACATGGTTTGTTATTTCAAGCACCCTGGCCTCCACCGTCTTCCTGCTGCCGAACTTCTTAAACTACAGAAGGATGATTCAGATCAGGATCCAAACCAGCAGCATCTCTTTTCATCATTTTACTGCATTTAAACCAGAGAATCAATGAGAGGAATCGAACCTCGGTGTTGTCCACCACCACCACCAGCTCCACCGTTCGGGGTTTTGCTTTAACATCGCCGGTCTGGGCTCTGCTTTTCTGTGGAGCGTAAAAAGAACTAATATCAGAAATGCTAATAAGTAAACGGTTAAAGTGTCAGAATTAGGAGTAAATATCAGACCCAAAACAGAGATGATGCACATTCAAAGACCTGGGATCATTTAGATCCTCGTTTCCTGCTGATATTCGATCTTCTTCTCAGTTTAAGACTAAATCCAAATAATCTGTGAACGTGCCGGGTCTTTACCAGACTGCCGAGCTGGAAGAGTCCAGACGGACGAGCTCCGTGGTCATAGAAAGTGGTTGTGTTTCCATGGGAACAGGAGCTCCTCTTCCTCCTCAGGTGTTTGTAGTTGTAAACAGCATGAAGGCGGAGATCAGCTGGAGCTTCGGAGCTGTCTCTGTCATCCTGCTGCTCCTCCTGCTCCTCACCAGCAAGAGGTTCAATCAGGTACATCTGGTCTTGGAGGGTCACGACCCCGCTGTAGAGAGGAACGGGAACTTCAGAGCAGATCCGACTAAAGAAAAATGGAATCACTACAAGTTACTCACTTGATTCCTGAGCAGAGTTGGATGCTGGCAGAAGAGTCCTCCACTCCCACCACATGTCCGTGGTAGTAGCAGTGACCCTGGAAGGATGATGATCGGTTTATTTAAGTCTTTCATTCCTTCATGAGAGATTTGGTCGTTTCTAAAACATCTGAATGTTTCTCAGTAGCTTCAACAGAGGAATTGATTTCTGTAATCTCTCATGAGGAACTTCGTGGTTAAGAAACTGTGTCCTTTTATATTTTGTAATAAGTAATGAGGACGACTGCGATCAGAACAGATGATGAAATGTCTTTTACATCCGCTAATGTTGCTCTACGGAGCGTCTACATCTAATTAAATTAATGCGACCGGGTCCATCCAAAGCTACAGTACAGAGTTCACCAAACCACAAAATGAGAAAATTACTTTACTGGCCACATAAAAGGACCAGCTGTTCTATTTATGAGTCAAACCGAAGAATCTAAACATGCTAAATAGAATCAGAAGAACAAACAGAAACAAACCTTTAAGTCTGGAGTAGATGACACTTGGTGGCCTTGATCAGAATAATAAGTCACAGTGAAGTTATTTCCAACAAGATCCCTGAAAAGACAAATGTTTGTTTCTCGTTATAAATGTCAGGTTTCACAGAAGCAGTAAAACAACAGAGCTTGTTTTTATAAAGGAGACAAAAACTTTTATTACTTGTTCCTTTCCAGGTGGAGAGTGTAGCTTTCCCCAGCAATCGCCACTGAGTATCGGACCACGTCTGGGTGTTCCTGTTCAGCAGAAAGTGGTTTAAGTGTCTTTTATATATTGCCTCTCAAGATAAAAATCACCAGGCTCTTCACAAGAACAATAAATTCAAAATATAAAAAAGATGAAAAAAATATGGCTAAAATTAGAAAATAAATTATGATTAAAAATGCAAGGAAACGGAAAGAGGGACGTGTGTGTGTGTGTGTGTGTGTGTGTGTGTGTGTGTGTGTGTGTGTGTGTGTGTGCGTGTGTGTGTGTGTGTGTGTGTGTGTGTGTGTGTGTGTTACCTTGTATGTAGCAGCATCATCCAAACGAGAATCCATCAGTTTCACTGGAATCACTTTTTGGTATTTTAGTACATGAGGAAGATTCTTCACATCACCCAGAGTTAGACCTGCAAGAACCAGGAATTATTACAGAAAAGAAAGAAAGAAAGAAAGAAAGAAAGAAAGAAAGAAAGACTAACCCCATAAAGAAAAGCAAATCCATATAAAATATCCAGTGTGTGACATGTTGCTCTGCCGGACGGATTCTGTCTTTGTGAGTTCCACGACTCAAATGGAAATATCTTCAGCTCTCCGCCCATCTGCTGTAACATCCTGGCCATTCTCATGTGAAGCTGACTAACGTTGCCAGAAATTATTTTTCTTAGAATGACAAAAACTCCAAATGAGGTAAAGTGAAAAGGGAATAAAACACAATTAAAGCGATCCGCAACATTATTTCGATGTTTAGGCAGCTATTTTAAAAAGCAATTCGTATAGTTTTAATCACAAAAATGTTACGAAGTTAAACAACAGCTGGTCCTCTTTGAAAAACAAACACACAAACAAACAAACAAACAAAAACAACAACAATGTTTCATAAATAAAAGAATGAAAACTATCGAGTTCCTAGAGCTGAGCACAGACCGGCGTTATTAATTATTTGTCGCCATCTAGCGGTGAAACAGACTAACGTTTGTTAACTTGCAACCAATGGAAATCAAATTTTAGACAAAGCCAAATAATAATATTTTGCTATCCTAAACGAATTATTTTGTTTGATGAATGACATAAACTACACAAATTCTGTATTGTTCAAATTGATGTTTTTTGTTTGTTGCAAACTAATTATTTAATTAATGTGGAAAAAATGTTTAGCATGTATTTTTACCCTGTTTTATATAAAAAATGCAGTTAGCTTTAACTAAAGCAGTTGTTCCTGTAATGAATGATTAAGATGATCAATCTTTAGCCTGGTTTTGAGCGAAGAAACACCAAACCTAACAATACCAGGAGGGGGCGCTCTTGTACAAGATTTCGGTGTGGACAACCGCCTACAATCTTTAGTATGTAATGACGTAATCATTTTGCGCCAATTTCTAACCAAAACACGGAAAAAAGCACCGCGCGACGGCTGGAGACGTTTAAATGACAATGTAATGAAAAGTGTTGTAAACAATGCTGCAGCCAGACTTGAATCTACTCGTGACGGCAGGAGAAGATGTTTTAACGAGAAGCAGCGATGAAAGGCGCCCGACAGAAGCTCCAGAGAAGCAGGAGAACCCGTTTGACTTCACTCCGCAGCTCCTTCGCCTCCACAAAGACCACGAACTGTTCGAGGTAAAAACAAACAAACTAAACAAAAGGTGACCAAACAGACTCCAATATGTTGTTCTGCTGCAACATGAGAAGAGACGGTTTATTTGATCGTTTGCCTCAAACTAATGAAAATCCCTTCAACAGGATGGAGACATCCAGAGACACCTGTCTATACAAGACCTCTTCATTTCAGAGACAGAAGACACATCTGCGCTCAGGTAGGACAGTTATGGCCCTGCTTCATGTCCTACAGAAATAGACTTCAGTTAACCCGACAAACAGAGCTCATCATTCACCGACACGTAGAAGCAAGCGGGCTTACCATAACAATGGGAAAACAAATATATTATATATCTTATTACATTTACGACCATCTTTGCCATTTTGGTCACTGGCCACATTCTTCTAAAAAAGTTATTTGTTATTATAATTATGCCAGTGGAAAGGCATCTGCGCTGAAGATATCTGCTTTAAATTTTTCTTGACAGAAATAATGACCAGAGCTTTTTTCGTTACCCTGAATGCTCAAAGTCACACATATCAAGTCTCCTCCTGCAGATTTATTCTTTCTTTCTCCTCTTCTGGTTTTATCCCAGCGTGTCGGAGTTTGGCTGTCACATCTCCGACTGCAGCGCTGTCTTCAGTACTTTGGACGACTATGAGCACCACTACAACTCTCTTCACAGACACGTGTGCTGCTCCTGCCGCTGCTCCCTGCCCACTGCTCGTCTCCTCGACATTCACATCCAGGAGTGGCATGACTCTCTTTTCACTGTCCTCGCCCAAAGGCAAGACATGGTAATGTCCCGACACTAGTTTTCTGAAAATACCACCCCCCCCCCCTTCAAAAAAAGGTTAAAAGTCAATTATTTTAAATGTTTTCAAAAGCAATAAATAAATAAAACATCTAAACTGACTTTCCAACATTTTTGTATTTTTCAGTACCAGTGCCTAGTTGAGGGTTGTGGACAGCAATTTAGGACTAGTAAACAAAGGAAAGACCATCTGATAATGAGTCACAAGTATCCTCCAGACTTCAGATTTGACAAAAACAAAAAGGGAAGAGGGTAAGGCAACATGTAGTATTTCCACCAGATAGTGCTATGTTTGGGGATCTCTTTTAACCTTCATCAGCAGTTTTCTGTTTAATTCAAATTATTGTAATTAAAATGGGATTTTGTTTTTAAATATCACTTTTTTAAAAGAACCAAAGCAAAGAGACAGCAGCAGAAGAACACAGCAATGGAGGTTGTAGGTGTTGTGCAGGAGTCTCAGGGTGTGTGTGAGAGTATAAGTGATGATCCTGAGGAAGAACAATCCATGGAAACGCATGTGTCTAGTGAAGAAGGTGCTGCAGCTCAGAGCTCCGAAACACACACGGCTCAAATAAAACCACAATACTCACACAGGTTGGTCACTGTTGATTCATCCTTTTGGTGTAAGACAAAATGAATATTTTATTTTTTTATTTTTTTAGAGCACACATTTTACAGTCATCCTAAATCAAATCGTGACCCATTAACTTGTCTGAAAGTGAATTATTCTCACATGAATCTCAATTTTTGGGTAAAACATACCATTTTTTCTAATAATCCTTTCATTCAGGGTTCCTCCAACTGTGTGTTTTGGTCATGGCTCGGTTCGAGGCTTCAGAGGAGGACGATCCAGACGGAAATAGAGCTCTGCAGCTGAGCTTTTTGTTCACTGCCCTGTAGAATAAAAAATGTATGAATTTTTTTCATTTGTTGTGATTATTGTTATTGTATAAAATAAAAATAAAAGTTTATATGTGGTTTGATTTACTTATTACATTTTACTCATTGACTAATTGTTACATTGTAAAATTGTGTTTCAAATAAACTGTTACACCATTTAAAATGTTTATTTGCAAAAATATTTTGATAGACTGGATGTTCGAAGCAGAGATAAATGTAAGTTTTGTATTTAGCTTTCAGTTTTGATATATAAATTCTGGATTTATTATTAATGAATTTCGTTTTAATTTTCAAGCAATTTGAGAGAAAAAAAAAAGAACCGTAATATTTTGTTAGCGCGCACAAAAAAATTGAGTTTTAGAGGGCTGGCATTAGAGAGGCTGGCTTTACGTCAGTGATAAACTGCTTCCCGACGGATTATGAGAAGTTTCTCTTAACTAACGTTTAATGTATAACGTTTTACTTTCTCGCCATGCTGCGGGTCATTGTAGAGTCCGCCAGTGGGATACCTAAAAAGAAAATTGGAAACCCAGATCCAATCGCTACTGTTCTCTTCAGAGGTGAGAAATCTCATCAGTATAGCTGTATTTTTATATGTATTTTTCCCGATTAAGCATAAATTGTTTTTCTTTTCAGGAGTCTTGTTGGAAAACTAGATTATATTAACAATGTCGCCTTTCTTATTAGTTTTTAGACGTTCCTTAAACGTTGCATTCTGGTTTATGTATTTTCTTCGCCCCGTGGGCATTCGTTTATTATTCATTGTCAAAATGAAGAATACAAGGTCGTTCTGTGATTTTTTTATTTGCAATTGTATCTGCACAAAGTCTAAAACAGTTGATTCTGTGATTTAGGGGTTTGGTTTGCAGATTTTTTTTATTTTTTAAACAAACAAAAAATGTATTGTTTGAAAAAAATAGGAAATATTTAATTAGATTATGTGTTCAGGCGAGAAGAAGAAAACCAAAGCAATTGACAATGAACTGAACCCGGTTTGGAATGAAGTAAGTGAACCTTAATTCAATTCAAAATTTCAATTCAAAAATACTTTATTAATCCCAGAGGGAAGTTATTTTGAAACAACTAGTTTATCTTGAGGACACTTTCACAGCTTTTACTGTTTTCATCACAGGTCCTTGAATTTGACCTTAAAGGCGTTTCTCTAGATGCTTCTTCATTCATCAATGTCATCGTGAAGGACTACGAAACTATTGGAAAACACAAGTATGTGTTTGTCTCAAGAATTGCATTTCATAAATATACTGATCCAAAGGTGATGTCATCGTGATCTTTATTTAACCAGATGATGTGGTTAGGTTTGAGGACTCTCAGCTTTTGTCCCACTGTCTTCAACTTCCCTAGAGCAAAAAAAAAAAAGATTTAAATTATGCATCATCAGACAGAAAACATCAACCTACCTATCATGTCTATCTTTCAAGACAAAAGTGCTTATTTATTTATTTATTTATTTTTTTTACACCAAAATAATATAAGTGACATGCAGTAATTGTGATTTTTTGTAGCCAAGTAGCATGTTGAAACTTTACTGGATGGTGTATCTAATAGACTCACTGTGGCCATGTTAAGACCTGCAGGAGTAGAAAAAGGGGTGTGCTTTCTTGCTCGTATCTGCACCGCCACATTTACAGGAATGTTGCCTTAAATGGAAATAACTGCATGCTTTTTTATTCTCTTCATACCCAGACAAAAACAGCTTTGGTGTTAATTATTTATATATATATTAAAGGGAATAATGTTTCCAGCCTCTCTGTTAGGGAAATACTTGTGTGATTATGTTTGTTCCTCTGAAGCTCAGGGGAGGACAGCCTTTCCGAGTCGTCACCAAATGTAAACAATATAAATGACTGGTGGAGGAGGATTTATGTCTGCCTTTGCTCTTAGATGTTACTCTGTGAATCCTCTGAAGCTTGTGCTGGCGTGTCTTTGGCACAGCTAAACTCACTGCATCTCAGTTAGAGATGGATAAAAAACAGGGACAACACTTTGTTACTAAAAGCAGGCGTGGTTCATGACATCAAATTATAGCTCCAGATTTGGTTTTCAAATTCTGCAGCTCTCCTATTTTGGTTAATTTTGGAAACTACCCAGCGTTTGGCAATAATTTTGACTATTAATCATAGTTGCGTGATGCCTGACACAGTGACACTGTAGGTGTTGGTTTGATGCATAATGAACAGAAAGGGAAGTGGAATGTGTCCACCATAGTAACAAGCAAACGCAGTTACAAACACTGGTCTTTACTTCTTTACTTCGCTGTGGAAGCAAGTTGTTTTTGCTATTGTGCAAAAAAAAAAGAACCATTGATTTTTTTCAGCTGGGGGGGGGGGGGGGGGGGGGTCATTTTGCTAATGCATGACCTTTTATTTTTGCTAAACACAAAATATGATTGCTTTTCAGGTTTATAGGTTCTGTACAAATCTCTCTGAAAGACCTGGTCAGTGGCCAGCTAAAGACTCTCCCTTCAAAGAATGTGCCTCTGCTCAGTGAGAAGCTACAGGCTATTGGGGTAAATGTGCAACTTTTAGACATTAACACCTTATCCTCGTTTTTGGGGTCGCTGCCCACATGCTCATTCCACGAATGCATGATTCTTACAAGTTGTACTTTGTTAGCAAAGGTGACTGATCATCAGTATCAGATTTGTTGCCATGAAGCATTGTTATACAGGCTGTTGTTAAAACAAATAGGTGTCTGATGTCTTCTTTCACAAAATAATATGTGAGGAAAGTTGGAAAGTGTCATTGGCAAAAAGTGAAATAACTGTGTAATTATTTTAAAAACATATCGACAGTTTAGCAAAAGAAGAAATGTAATAGTTTTTCAGTCACCTAATGTTAGTGTTTCTGTTTCTGTTCAGGTTTGGCTATTGGTCATTTTCTTAGAACTTTTTAACTTTATTTGTTTAAAGGGGATACGTTATGCAAAACTCATCATTTGCAGACTTCTGAGCTGCCACATGGCTTTCTATTACATCTATAAACACGCCAAATGTAAAAAACAAACAAACAAAATAAAAACCACCCATTCGTTTTCTGCCAGTGTTTGGTTTTAGGAATAGACTATATGCCAGGCACCTCTGGTTTGAGACTTCCTGACTTTGTAGCCAGCTGAATAATTTCTGGGTCACCGTAACGTTAGTGTTCTCCGATCGCTTAGAAAATGCAGTAGAGAACACAAACCCACAACCTGGAAGTGATTCACCTGGCTAAAAAGTCAGGAAGCTTCAAGTTGGGGGTATGGCATTTTTTTGTGGTGGGACAAATATGGAAATTAGCGCAAAACCACATCTCACATGCAAGAGAGAGGTGCTACTGCTGCTGGAGAAGTAGCAGCTCTACTCCGAGTCCCTCCCTGCTATCAGAACTTCTTAGCCTATAGCAGCCTGACTGGGTGAGCGTGGCCAGCTCCAGCTTGTTTTCTTGAAGTTACAGAGCCCTGAAATGGCTCATTCTGGAAGTTCCAAAAACTGTCAAGTATGTTGAAATCGCTTCACGTGAGAGGGATTTTGTGCAAAGAACATTATGAACATGTTTGGTATTGATCATAAAACTAGTAACTTGAGAAAAAAAGTCATAAATATATCCCTTAAGTGCAGGTGAAACTTTAATGTGTGTGTGTGTATATATATATATATATATATATATATATATATATATATATATATATATATATATATATATATATCGTGTAAATGTTCATCACTTTCAGTAATTCAACTCCAAGGGTGAAAACTAATATTTGAGATCATAACATGCAAAGTGAGACATTTCAAGCCTTTATTTGCTATCATTTTGATGATTATGGCTCACTGCTGAGGTGCCCAAACCTGTTCCTGGAGGGGCACCAGCATGTTTTAGTTTTTTTCCCTGCTTCAACACTCCTGATTTCAGTCAGCATGCTTGTGTAGAGAATTAAATGTGTTGGAGCAGAGAAACAAGTCAAACGTGCTGGATACCTGCCTTTGGGCTCAAGGATTGGGCACCCCTGGCTTACATCTTATGAAAACCCCAAATTCAAAATCTCAAACAACTTGTGGAAAGGTTAAAAAAATCTAAGCTCAAAGTGTCACATTGTAATCAGTTAATAAATACAAAACAGCTGCAAAGGGTTGCTGAGTCTTTAGATGGTCTCTCAGTCAAAGCGGAATCTCTGAAATTATTGGACTTTTGCACCATAGTCACATTTTTTGAGTATGTCTTTCATTATCAAAGTCAATCTCCAAATTCCAATTAGTCTCCAGGGTTTTTGATATTTCTATTAAAATTAAGTTATTTATTCTGTTTCGTTGCTTATTACTTACTTCCTGTTTTTCAGTTCCTAGTCAGCACACCTGTCATTTACTGTAATCAGATTACTCTGCATTTTCCTCCTCTGCTTTTTTGTCAGAACTGTACTGATGTGCCAATCCTTGCTTGTAGTTTCAGTAGTCGCCTTAAACTAATTTGGTTTACTTTAGTTTATCTTTCATGAAAATGCCTCAGACTTCCTGCTTGCTTCCTCTTTCCATCCCTGCATTTGGGTCTTTTGTTTCCAACAGCCTGTCACAAAGACACAATTAGTTCCTATTTTTTAGTCCTACCCATTGACAAGACAAAGAATAGTGTTGTTTGGCAGACATAAAAAAGTACTTTAGCTACAAAAAAGATTAAAACTGATAAATCTAATTTTTTTCCATCTAATTTTTATAAAGACATAGCACCAAAGGCCTAAATAGTTAATTATTAAACTTAAAAACATTACAAAATTACAATAAAAGTCTGCTTGGAAAGTATAAAACAATAGCAGTGATTTAAAACTTTTGCACAGGACTGTACAAAGGAACAGCAATTGCTAACCAACGTTTTACGTATTCTTCAGGCTACTATTAATTTGGTCATTGGGTATGAACCTCCAACCAACATCAGTTCAAGGGTAAATGATCCAGCTCAAGAAGAAATGTCCCAGGCAGAGCCTGGTAAGTAGATTAAAGTAAAAACAAAGTACTCTATTTTAGGTATCTTGAATCAGTGTTGAGTGTTTGAATGTGTGTACAAATGGTACAGACATACCCCAGAGACCAAGTCAAAGCATAGTTTCAATGTTTATTCTGAGCATGTTTCTAATATTTGTGGATTTACCACAGAGGGCAGTGAGGAAGCAGATGAGAGGGAGGAGGTCGTGGATGAAACAGAACAGGTTGGGAGTCCAGGAGTTCCCCTTTCACCAAACCAACCAGCCAAACCGAGCCTAAAGTCCCACCGTTTCAGCCGAAAGAGAGCCAGAGCCCTGCCCAATAAGCCTCAGGACTTCCAGGTTTTGTTTGAGTTTTATTACGCTTCCAGAATAACGACAAATACCAATTTAGAGGGAATTTAGATCGGCTGACAGCAGCTTCCATTAAATCAAATGTACTGTTAGGCTGGAGGGCTATAAAAACTTTTCATTTGATGTCCCAATTAAAGGTTGAATATGGAACAATTTAATTAAAAGCTATAAAATGTTACCTTCACGGGGCGTTTAGATGTGTGCAGAGTAAAGGTATATATTTTAATAAAAAATGATCAAATATTTATTTTGACGGGCATGACTCTGGGTTTATGTCTACATCTACCAGCCAATAGAGGCTGGCACTGTGGAAAATGGTGGACTCAGCAAGTCAACCTGCTGCTACTGAGTCCAGAAGGTGTCTTTATCCTTCTTGAAAGAGGAGCGACCATTAAAGATCTAAAACCCGAGTGAGTTTATGAGAAGCCTACAACAGATGGACCCAAATAAAAAATGTCACATATCAGCCGCAAACCGGGTATCCAGACGGCTGGAAACCTTGTTCTATTGTTGCAGCTACAACCTCCTCGCACTAGATGTCGCTTTGGTGTCTGTGTTCCATGTTCAACCTTTTATTCACACCATGCAAAGTCAATTATCAACCCCAAAAATCAATAACACTCTTTCATCAATTCTCCAACAAATTTGTTCTGTTTTCTCCAGCTGTCGTTGCTTGTTGTATTCAGATCCGTGTTCGTGTTATCGAGTGTCGTCAGCTCCCCGGCAACAACATCAAACCGGTGGTGAAAGTGAGCACGTGCGGACAGACAAACAGGACTAGAATTAGAAGAGGAAACAACCCATATTTTGACGAGGTTAAAATACCACATAAATACTCCTCAAGTTTCTAAAACACCTTGACGAACCTGTTAATCAGTTTATCATCCTTTCTTTTTGGCATTTCAGATATTTTTCTACAACGTAAACATGCTTCCTTCCGAGCTTTTTGATGAAAGCATCAGCCTCCGAGTGAGTAAATGTCTGTTTTAATACCAGACGTAACCCCTTTCCCTCATTAAGTGCTTTTCCCCCCAGGTTTTTGACTCCTACTCCCTCAGAGCAGACAGTCTGATAGGAGAGTTCAAGGTTTTTCTCTTTTCTATTATCTTTATATCTACATTTTTTGTTGCAATATTTCCAAGAGTTTATTCGCTTTTTTCTTTCATTCCTAGTTGGATGTTGGTTACATCTATGATGAATCTGGTCAGTCTCATCTTGTAAAATACTACAAATAAGTGACTTTCTCTGATCTATTTAAATAAATAGAATTTATTTTTTTAAGGTCATGCTATTTTGAGAAAATGGCTCCTGCTGAGTGACCTGGATGGTTCCAGCTCCGGGGGGAAAGGTTACCTAAAAGTCAGCATAATTATTGTGGGCACTGGAGATGAGCCACCGGTAAAAGTTTTTCCTTCTTTGATTTACAAATAAGATAAAATGAAGGATTAAAATGGTTTCCTTTTGGCTGCAGACTGAGAGGAGAGAGTTACGTGACGAGCAGGATGACATAGAGACTAACCTTTTGGTCCCAGCCGGGGTCACGATGCGATGGGCCACTCTGAGCCTTAAAGTTTACCGTGCCGAGGATATGCCACAGAGTAAAATACAAACATCTCCTCAGCTCTTTGTAGTTAATTACCTCAGAGACGGTTGTATTGATGGGTTTGTGTTGCAGTGGACGACGCCTTTGTTCAGATGGTCAAACACGTCTTTGGAGGGGATGGAGACAAGAAAAACTTGGTCGATCCGTACATGGAAGTCAGCTTCGCAGGGAAGAAGGTCTGTCATATCCTGCTGCTGTGAAAAGTTCTCGCTGCTTCAGCATAATTTTATGTTTTCCTTTTTAAATCATATTTCAGCTTTGCACCAAAATAATTGAGAAAAACGCAAACCCAGAATGGAATCAAGTCATCAGTCTCCAAGTCAAGGTAATGAAGATTTGGGTTGAAACTATCATTTAAGTTTAGATTCAAATAATAATAATAAAAAAAAAAAAAACCTCAGATCTTTTTGTGTGTTTGAAGTTTCCATCCATGTGTGACAGGATCAAGTTGACTATGTATGACTGGTAAGTGTTGATATTTATTCACGGATAACTTAGTTCATACTGAACACAACTGTTTACTTTCAAAAGGGATCGTCTATCCAGAGATGATGTCATAGGAACTACGTTTTTGAATCTGGGTAAACTCTCTCACTCCGGCGGGGAGACTGAAGGTAATCGTGTCATTTTTGCAATCCATCCATCCATCCATCCATCCATCCATCATTTATTTATAAAGCACATTTACAAACACTGCGTTTCAGCTGTCCAAAGTGCTGTACAGGAGGGCTGAAGACCACAAAAAAACTGTGGTGGGCCACTCTACAAAATAGTTAAGATAGGTGGAAAAGTATAACAATTTAGAGGTAAAAAGGGCCCAATTTGTACACATTGTAGAAAAAGAAAACAAGTACCTAGCAGTAGCTAATACATTTTAAATGAAATCAGTGGACATTAGGGCTGCACAATATATCGTTATGGATCAGCATGCGCAATATGCATATCACAAAGAACAGATGAATATCGCAATGAATGGTCAGCTGAACTGTTTGCTACACATAATGCATTCTGTCAAACAAACGAAAGCATGATGTTTTTTTTTAACAAATCAAATAGAGCTCTTCACCCTTTGGCCAATTAGGTGGGTTGGTTGGGTGCCCGCCCCCGAGGTGGACGGCACTTAATTTTGATGGTTAGTAAACACCTGAGTTAGCTTTGTTATGCTCTTTCTGCTAATTCTGCTTTTCCCGGGATCCACTGATTGACTTTTCTTGTTAATTTTATTTTTCCCTTTCCTCACATCTTTTGCTTTTCAGATTTTTCGGATTTTTTTTGTCTTTTAAAAATGTCTTTGTTTTTGATTATTTTTGTTCCTGAGTTAAGTTTTTATTTATCGCAAGTGATATCGTCATCGCAATGTTAATCACTGTTATCGAATATCGCTGGTTTTCCTAATATCGTGCAGCCCTAGTGGACATATTAACAAAACAATATAAAACTTTATTTCGAGATAAAAAGAAGATAAACCAGTAAGTGAGTCGTCAGCTGAGGTGATAGCAGTCAGAGATTAGTGAGTGATGCGGAGAGTTTGTTTCAGGGTCATTCGCAGAAGGCTTTGTTAAAGTAAAAGCGTCATTTGAAGTCAACCAGTGAGTTGGCAGCTCGAATGTGAGGTGGTAGGACGTTCCTAAGTTTTGGTGCAACATGGGAAAAGGCCTGTTCACCACGTGCTTTGTATGATGTTTTTGGAACGACCAGGAGCTTTTGGGCAGCAGAGCGTAGAGGCCGTGGCGGAATGTATTGAGTCAACAGATTACGGATGTATGATGGCCCCGAACCATTGAGTGCGTTAAAGGGTAATGTTAAGATCTTGAACATGATATGAAAGTGTACAGAGATCCAGTGTAGCCGGGCCAGAATAGGAGTGATATGACAGCGACAATCAGAGCCAGTTAGCATTCGTACTTGTCAAATTGTTTCACAACTAAAGTTTCAACATATTCTTGATTTTGTTTTCCCCCATCTGAAACAGACGTGCAGACTGAAACATCCAACAAAATCTCTGAATGTATGTACCACCTTTTTTGTATTTTTCAAGACTTGTGTTATCGTCTATCCTCACTTTAAAGGGGTTGAGATGTTTTAAACTGATTGTTACAGTGAGCTCTGCTGCAGCATCCGTAGCGGGGTTCCTCCCAGCTTTTGGGCCTTGCTATGTCAACCTGTACGGAAGCCCAAGAGAGTTCACGGGTCTGCCGGACCCATATGAGATGCTTAACTTTGGAAACGTAAGTAAAATTGGATTAATTAAAAACTTATCAGTCGTGCATTTGGATCTACTCATTATATTTAACATTATGAGGATTTTTTTCCAGGGAGAAGGAGTTGCGTACAGAGGGAGGGTTCTTGTTGAGCTCTCTACTCAGCTGGATGAAAAGGCTGAAAAGAAAGTGGATGATATCTCAAACGATGACATTCTTGTTGCTCAGGTAAAGACAATATAGTGTTAGCTTGCTTTCTTTTAAATATTTTTTTGTTATGAAAACGCGTTCTTTTTAATAATAAATTAGTTAATTTTAGAACAAATGTCAGGTGACTACAGATTACGTTGAACATTTCAAAGTAGCAATTTTGACGCCTAATCCTTGAACAGCAAGTTCATTGAGAACTAGTTTTTTTTTACTTGTTAGGTTTGGATTGTGATCGGTCACTCTGAGTTTCACATACAGGATGAATGTGAAAATAGTCTTCTACCCCTATTTCCTATATGAGCCACCAATGGAAAATAGACAGGGAAATGCTTGCATCAGAAAAAGCCTCTATGTCACACTAAAAATTAGCATTCATCATGACGGACGGCGAAGGCTGTTGTTGCCTTGGCGGCTAGGAGAGAGCAGTGCACGCCTTGGCGAGTAGAAGCTAACCGTTAGCATTAGCAACTTCTCATCATGGCAGAACTCATTCAGGTTTGTGTTATTTGTGGAGATAAAATATCCACATTGCAGAGTTAATGGAGGCAGTGGAAGAGTTGTGCTGCTATTAGCCAATCAGAGGTGAGATTTTTGAATGTATTGAATAATAATGAGTAAAAATCCGAATTCTGCCGTTTTTCTACCCACCACTTCTCCAGCTGACATCTACTTTCTGAAACCAGAGTGCCAGGACTTTCTTTCCACAGAGAACAACTCAAAAGGCATTCATTTATACAAGAGACTTCCGAAAATATGTAGAAAAAATGAGTGACTGAGAGATTTAAACACATTCCCATCCTTTCTAAATGAATTTAGAGATACCAGCGGAGGCGGAAGTACTCTTTGTGCGCCGTTTTCCACAGCGCCTGCATGCTCCAGGAGTTGGGTGAGCCAATCCAGTTTGAGGTCAGTGTTGGTAACTACGGTAACAAGCTGGATTCCACCTGCAAGCCCCTGGCATCTACAACTCAGTACAGCTTTGCTGTGTTTGATGGTACGAAAACTGCTGTCTGAGTGTATCTAAGCATGAATACGCAACTGTAACCAGCACACATGTTTAAAGTAATTGTGTGGATTTACTAACAGGTAATTACTATTATTACCTACCCTGGGCTGACACTAAACCAGTGGTGATTGTGACTTCATACTGGGAGGACATCAGCCATCGTCTGGACTCTGTCAACGGTCTTCTCTTCATTGCTGACCATCTTGTGAGTCTTGTGGTGCAGTGTGTGTATTCATATCATAAATACACAAGTTATACATGGATGTGAATACATGAATGATTCATTCCAGGAGTCCAATCTTATTTCTCTGAAAACCGCCATGATGGCCAAGGTGTCTGAGGCACGTCTGCGAGAAATTTGGCTCAAACTCATCGACCGCTTGATTGAAGACTTGAGCCAGTGAGACATAATCCTAAACTAGACCTGTTATTTACACAATATACGGATGTTTTCTTTCAACTTTGTTGTTTTACTTTGGTAGTTTACAGCTGCCAGTACTGGATTGCCAGCCTAACGTTACAGTTCTGGATCTCCAAATTAAAAAACTGCGTGATGCTGCCGTAGAAAGCATCAGACAGATGGCTGGCAGCTTGAGAGAAGAAGCCACCGATGTGAAATCTACAGTTGTTGACATTGAAGAGTGCTTGGACAGAATCAAGCAGCTAGCCGAGGAGGTGTGTCAAGCACTTAAAGATAGTATTATGAGGGATGTTCAATATCAGCTTTTTTTTTTTTTACCAGTATCCGGTGTATGAAACGGTCTAACTCTTAAATCATGATTCCAATATAAACTGATAAGAATGTATGTGAGGTCACCCTGCATATAAAACAAAGAAAAATGTAATTATTTTAGGTACTGTAACTGTCATGGATTTTATCAATATGTGTATCAATAACCCATTTCCTATAGTGAAGAGAGAAGGAGACAATGAGCAGACAAGTCAAACAGTTATAACTGTGGCAAGATGCCGAAGCAAATGCCTCGAACATCTGTTCACAGACTTTATTTATAGAGAGGAAGATAAGAAAGGAGGAGTGAGGTCATTGTGTGAGAGAGGGAGTCAGTGTGTGTATGAATACAAGAATGTGTGTGTGTGTGTGTAAATGAGCGGGACAAGAATGTGTGTGTGTGTGTGTGTGTGTGTGTGTGTGTATGTGAGCATGCAGAGAGGCATAGAGCAATACATTACATCCAGTTGATTGAGTCCATGATAAGAAATTAATAAACATAGATTTTTCCATAACAGTAACTAACGTGACATATCTCCAATCATACATACTTAAACTTTTAGGTCCCATTGGATCCCATTTTTAGAGTCTTTGGTATGACCCAACTGGGATTTGAACCCCGGTCTCCCAGTCCCAAGGTGGAGCTGGTTAAACTTTATGTCAGATCTGTCATATTTTAATATTTGTGTGCACGGTGTGTAAAAGTTGTGTCATTAAAAGAGTAAAAGCTGGTACTGATCATTTCCCATATTACTTTTTAACGATAATGCCGGCCGATATTATTGACGGAACCATAATATCGCACATCCCTTAGTAGGATGTATTATAAAAAGATGTGATTGAAACTTGATCATGTATCTAAAGTCTTACGTCCCCTTCAGCCCCAGAACAGCATGCCAGACGTGATTATTTGGATGCTGAGAGGAGAGAAGCGAGTGGCGTACGCCCGAGTCCCAGCCCACCAGATCCTGTACTCTGATTTTAGCGAAAAGGCTTGTGGCAAACACTGCGGAAAGATTCAGACCATTTTCATGCAGGTGCAACAAAGATTATTATAGATTTGCTTATATTTAATAGATAATTTTGTAACTGCCATTCTAATTTGTGTATCTAAATAGTAAACTATTGTTTGGCAGTACCCTATGGACAAAAACAAAGGTGTGAAGATTCCCGTTCAGCTGCGCGTCAACATGTGGCTCGGTCTCTCTGTCCATGAGAAGAAGTTTAACACCTTCTCAGAGGGAAACTTCAGTGTGTACGCTGAAATGGTGAAACATCGGCCTTTTTATAAAAATTCTTGTTCATAACCTTGACAATACAGCAGGTTTACAAGTAGTCACACCAATATTTACTTTTCTGCAGTATGAGAACCAGGCTCAGGTGTTTGGAAAGTGGGGAACCACCGGTCTTGTTGGTCGCCATAAGTTCTCAGATGTGACTGGAAAGGTGAAACTTAAACAGGAGCGCTTTCTGCCTCCGCGAGGATGGGATTGGGAGAGAGACTGGTTTGTTGACCCTGAGCGATGGTATGTATAAGAAACTGGCTAAAGCACATGTTCTCACATGGACCTTCCAGATTCTTGGCCTGCATTACAAGAGCAAACATCCTGTTATCGTTTTCTGCAACTGGACACGTTCTAGAATCCTGCTCATTCTTCAGCAAATAAGGAGGAAAAACCTTTAATAAACTGGATGCATTGAAAGGAACAGATAAATAACTTTTCTCATTCCATTACTAATAGAGGACAAGAGGGCAGAATAAGTATGAGGCCTAATTTTCTTTATATATAAATGAAATGTGAGGAAAGGTTGGGTTTTTAAGTGGTTCAACAAAAACAACACAATGGGTTTTCTTAAAATAGTCAGGCGTAGAAATGAAAATCAGCTTTGAAACACTCCTTTAGAAAAACTTTGAAAGACCTTCAGAAAGTCTGAAGTATTAATGTTCAAGACCCTATTTCAGAAATTCCAGGAAGCATCTTGACTCAAGGGATGATTAACTTTACTGCACTTGTATTTTCTCTAGTTTTGTTTCTTCCCCCTATTTTAATCAACTTGGACCTGCAGTGTAATACGGGTGCATTAGTTTGGTTCACAATAAAACTTATTTTAAACCATTTTTAAAGAACAAGTCACCCCCTACCAGAGTCTTACTCCACTCCCACTTCCTGTTTGAAAAATGCAACAAATGCTGTTGCCTGGCAGACCGCGAGAGCGGAGTCACTAACACACACACACACACACACACACACACACACACACACACACACACACACACACACACACACACACACACACACACACACACACACACACACACACACAGAGGCTCACAACCACATTGTGACATCATAATGTACCAGCTAATGTCATAGTGTACTTCATAGCCAATAGTGATGGCAGATTTAAATTCAAATGCAGTGTAGAGTTTTCATCAGAAGAGGGCGCAACACTGACAGTTTTAGCCAGAATATTTAAATTTTTACTAAGATGCACTAAATTGCTAAATGATTGACTACATGCGTGTACAGCACGATTAGACACTCGTTTATTTAGTTTATCAGCAAAACAAGTAGATTTGTGGGTAACTTGCTCTTTAATGGGTTTGAAGCTCTTGTTGCAGTGATTTGTCAATAATTATCTCAAAATTTTAATAAATGACTGCTGATATAAGGTCTAGCATGAACTTAAACTATGCTCACAGTTACAGGAAATAAATTAGTACAGGAATTTAAGTAGAAGCCCATGTTTTGGTTTAATGAGGTCTCCTTTCTTCCCCTGACATTCTCCCACAGGCTCATGTAAATACTCTCAGAAGTCGTTCTGAGCTGGTCTGATCTATTTATTGTGGTTTTTCATGGCTCACATCTGAGTCACGGAGATTCTCATGAACCTGATGGTGTTTTCCGCAGCTTGCTGACTGAAGCCGACGCAGGGCACACAGAGTTTACAGATGAAGTTTTTCAGAATGAAACCCGTTTTCCAGGAGGAGAGTGGAAGCCTGCTGCCGAGCCGTACACAGACGTGGTACGACCTTCTGAGTTTTTACCATCCCAGGAGTCCTTTAATGTTTTAAAACACCACAAACACATGATTGATTCCATGTGTTGTGTAGAATGGAGAAAAGGCTCAGAGCCCAGAAGACTTTGAGTGTCCACCTGGTTGGACCTGGGAGGATCAGTGGAGCTTTGACAGTGACAGAGCTGTGGATGAGAGAGGTAATACTGCACAAGCAGGCCCTGGAAATCTTTGAAATATCTAATCTGATTGTGTTTTGCGTTTATGTTCATCTTCTTATACCAGGATGGGAATATGGAGTGACAATCCCTCCTGATGACAAACCCAAATCCTGGGTTGCAGCTGAGAAAATGTACCACAACCACCGCAGGAAGCGACTCAGAAGACCAAGGAGGAAGGTTTCTGATAAAACGTCTCTTGCTGAGGTGAGAAAAAAGCAAATGACATTAGGAATTGGTCTGAAACTTGTGAACACGACGCTTTATTCTCCTGATTTGCTCCGCAGAGAAAAGATCCCGGGGAAGGCTGGGAGTACTCCTCTCTGATTGGCTGGAAGTTTCACAGAAAGGAGCGCTCGTCCGACACGTTCCGGCGCCGGCGCTGGAGGAGGAAGATGGTCCCATCGGACCGCATCGGCGCTTCTGCCATTTTCAAACTTGAGGGAGCGTTGGTGAGTCTTTCTTAATGCCTCCCAAGTGACAAAAATGTGTTTAAATACACCCGCTGTCATGGCAACCAGTTATTTGATGCACTTTGAGTCACATCCTCTTTTCATTCTCCTGCATCCAACTGTTCCTGTAAAAGGTTGTTGCATTGATGAGGAAGTTCACTGTTGTTCTTCAGTTCTTTGTCTCAAAGCCTGTTTTGTTGACAGGGGGTCGATGTTGATGAGAAAGCCAGTAAAACGGATGCAGCCAAGCTATTTGGTGCCAACACACCCACTGTTTCCTGCCACTTTAGTCGTGAGTAGAGAGCTACAGCTCATTTCTGGTCATTGATGCTGATTAAAGACTTTTAAAACGCCACTTCCTGGCTGCTCATATCGCCAGATAACATTGTTTCTACAGCACCGAGTGTTGGTATATGCACGTGTGTTTTTGGGTGTCTCGTGCCGTTTTAGTAGCAAGTCTATCAAAGATTTCTTCCTCCAGGGTCTTATATTTACCATCTGAGGGTGTACGTCTATCAGGGGAGGAATCTCTGCGCCATGGACAAAGACAGTTTCTCAGGTAAACACAAAGTGAGATTATAATCCTACAACAATAAAAGCACCAGATGTAATGGCACCCTTGTTCCATCCAGATCCCTACGCCCACGTGTCGTTCCTGCACATCAGTAAAACTACGGAAATCATAAAAACCACTCTGAACCCCACATGGGACCAAACTCTCATTTTTGAGGACATTGAAGTCTTTGGAGACCCACAGACCCTTGCACACAACCCCCCAGATGTAGTCTTGGAGATTTATGACTACGATCAAGTGGTGTGTTACTTGGTTATTCTGCCAGCTTGTTCACAGGTATGACTTAACCTTAAATAAACTAAGACTTTGATGACTCCTTGGTTAGGGTAAAGATGAGCCCATGGGGCGCTGTGTGTGCCCCCCTGTGGTAAAACTCAACCCTAGTGTGGCGGTCAGTCCAAAGCTGCTGTGGTTCCCAGTAACGAAAAAAGGTTGCAGTGCTGGAGAGGTGCTTCTAGCTGCAGAACTTCTATTGAAGGACAAGGTACCGGAAAGTTTGAATATTATTTATTTTTTGTTTGTTTTGCTCTATGAAGAGTATAATTCTATTCATCGTGCAGGGGATGGACGAGAATCTCCCTCTGGTGCCTCCTCGACGGGGGGAGAAACTCTACATGGTTCCTCAGGGAATCAGACCAGTGGTGCAGCTAACTGTGATCGAGGTACGCTCTAAAATGAATCAGTTCCTCTGTCGTCACCCTTCAGTTTTCCACTTTATACAGTGATCCTCTTGTCACAGGTGTTGACTTGGGGTCTGAGGAACATGAAGACCTTCCAGCTGGCCACCGTGTCCTCCCCCAGTTTGATAGTGGAGTGTGGTGGTGAGATTGTTCAAACTGCTGTCATCAAAAACTTCAAAAAGAATCCCAACTTTCCTGGATCTGTGCTTCTCCTCAAAGTGGTATCTATTACTGGGGTTTAGACACACCCTGTCATATGTTTGATTCTTTCTGTGTCATATTGCTCGAATAGTTTTTAATCTACTAGTCAAAGCTGGGGTTCTTAGCGTGATGTAATCGGAAAAGAGGAGGAGGAGATGATGACATTGAAACAGCTAAAGCTCCTCCCCTGCTGCTCCTCACCTTCTCGAATGAACTAAAAGTCACACCTCATACCGCACACTAATAGTTTTGTAGTGCTAATGGACAAGTGATGTACTGTTTTTGGTATGTTCCTGCTCAGACACACCTGAATCTAACTGCTGAAGTATCTCCTCAGCCTTTTCTGCAGGGTTCTGCAGGATCACTCTTTAATCAAATTTGCAATGTTCAAGCAGGGAAACATCTAAAACCTGCAGGAATCTGACACTGATCACTTAGCTTCCATACACAGAAGATAAATCCCTTTTCATTCTCCTCCCTCCTTTTCCACAGTAAGATTTAAGTTTACAAACTGACATTAATTCAACACAGGTGACAGCTGAATTAGCATTCAAGCTAGTTTGGTGTGATTGTTGATAGGAGCATCAGTGCATAGACATGAATACGTAGATGCCCCACTGGGTGCTGGAGAGCCCTTTTTTGTACTAGTGATTAAAATTTTTATTTATTTTGTCTAATTATGTTTATATTTTAATTATAATGCCATACCATGTGTCTGATTTTGTGAAAAAAAAAAAAAACATAATGAAACATGTTTTTTAGTTGGGTAAGTAACTTCCTCAGTAGAAATAATTGCACTGGGGGGTGAATGGAGACCCATCCAAGATGGTGGCCGGCCAGTACAGCAGCTCCAATAGGGAGCCTAAGTCACTTCCATCATGGGTCCCCGGAAGAACGAAAAAATGAATGCAAGTCAACGGGGCTAAAAACGTTAGTTTCTAATCCGCTTTGCCTTACGCCCTGGATCACACATATGTTGTACTTCAATTTAAATGTAAAGTAATGATGGGTGTTTCGACTACGCCTGTCACGTACTTTGAGATTTATTAGCTTGTAAAAGTTTGTAATTAGCGTGACTACAAACTAGAAATCGGCACGTCGCGTATGTGACTTCACCACAATCTCCTCTCCCCAAAGTAGCTGCTACTTACCAAATGACCGGATTTATGGTGGTTCTTTCCTGCCGTTGGAACTTTGCTGAACTTACATCCTTTTTCCCTCAGTTTTCTCCGTGTCTGGTTCGATGACGTCACTTTCGTGAAGCACATTTGTAGTCCTGAACTTATTTTCACACAAAACCTAAAATATCTTTAAAATTCACGGACATCATATGTGGAATTCCATGACACAAAACAAGCGGAATTAGAAACTAACGTTTTTAGCCCCGTTGACTTGCATTCATTTATTCGTTCTTCCGGGGACCCGTGATGCGGAAGTGACTTAGGCTCCCTATTGATCAACACTCTTGGGTCACATAAATGATTGGTTTTGCTGTAGATGCCAGAGGAGGGGGCTTAGGGGAAATATAAACTATAAAAGATTACATACTTTGTATCATAGAACAGTGTCAGATGGTCACATTTAAGCATTTTTTTAATGTTGCTTACATGTTTTAAACTTTGTACCCCAGCTTTAAGACGTTTAATGATGAAATATAGGTATGTGTATTGACATTAAACAACCTAAATAAGTATGCAGGTGAACTGGACTTCTTTGGTTGGGAATGGTTGTTTTGATTAGCTGGAGGACATTGTGGCCTAGATGGAATTAGGTTCAGAGCTGCATTATAGGTGCTGGAACGGTGAAACCAGAGGCCTCCTCCTCTGTTTAATGTCCTTGTCTTTCAGGAACTTTGGTGTCCACTTACACCTGAAGGACAAGGGACACACGTTTGAAGATGACAAAGTACACATTCTGGACAGAGAAGATAGATGTTTTGAGAGAGGAGTAAAGGAAGCCATCTAAGTAAAACGGGAAAAACTGACATTAAACAGAGGAGGAGGTCTCAGGTTTCACCTTTCCAGCCTTTATAATGCAGCTCTGAACATAATTCCCAAACAGTTTGGATCTAGGTCGCACCTTCCTGCATTTAATGAAAACAACCACACACAATTGGGGCTAACAATAGCAGCGACTCCTCGGGGGTAGGGAGGAGGTGTACAGGTAGTTTCAGCTAATTCAGTAACAACAGACAGCTACGGTTTAAGCTTGGCCGTCCCGTATTCCAGTCAGAATTAACAACGCTCCTCAGAGGAGAAGTGACACATCTTCAAAAGCCCAAAGAAGTCCAGTTGCCTTCATTCAAACCTCTTTGAAGACCCAAATTAGTAAAATAACTTGTCATCTTTTAACAGCTCCTTCCCAAGGAGGAGATGTACACTCCTCCCATTGTGCTGAAGGTAATCGACCACAGACCCTTTGGCAGGAAACCAGTAGTAGGGCAGTGCACCATCGACTGCTTGGAGCAATTTCGTTGTGACCCCTATCGCCCTAGCAGTGATGTCTGCATGTCAGCCAGAGGTATGTACGTATACTCAGCATCTCACACGCCCTTAGCTACAGCCGATCCAGTTTGTTCTTCTGTTCCTTTTTGTAGTGACCGTGATGAATTCTGTCCCGAGAGATGTTGTCATAGACATGGAGTCAGGAGTCATTGTGAAACCTGAGGTAAATACGTTTGGGGGTAAAATTCATTACATCACTTTCTTTCTGTATTAATACATTTTTCCTTTTTCTCTAACTTTGCAGATTCAAGCAAAGGTAAACATTTGACCTGTTTAAGATTTATTGTTCAGACACGTGTCAGAATTTCCTTTATTTATTTTTTTGATCAGGAGGAGGACACAGTAGACTGGTGGAGTAAGTTCTACGCCTCTGTCGGAAACCAGGAAAAATGCGGGCCTTACCTGAAAAAGGGTTACGACACGTTAGAGGTGAGAAGCTTCGCTAATCAGACCAAACAGGGTGACTTGTTCTGTGTTCCTGCTGCTTTTGGTGACTGCCCCTCTGAGCTGGGCTGTTGCGGTTTGCAGGTTTATGATTGTGAGTTAGAAGCGGTGGAAAAGTTCCAGGGGCTGACTGATTTCTGCAGCACTTTCAAGCTCCATCGAGGAAAAACTGAAGATGAGGAAGAAGATCCCTCAGTGGTGGGAGAGTTCAAGGTACTGAAAAATGACTGTTAGTCTTAAACACTGAATTTCAACGTCTCTTATGAATCGTTTAACTTATTCTGTTTGGCATTTTTATTTCAACTTAGTAACTGAGAGATTTCATCCATGTTTTTTTTCAGGGCTCATTCAAGATTTACCCTCTTTCTGATGACCCAGAGGTACCGCCTCCACCCCGTCAGTTCAGAGAGCTTCCTGAGAGAGGACCGCAAGCTTGCCTGATCAGAATATATGTGGTGCGCTGTATCGACCTGCAGCCTAAGGACACAAATGGCATGGTGTGTTTCTTATTGCACGAAAATAACAACAACAACAAGTTCCAACCTTGCAGATGGGATACTAGACAGTTTGGACTTGCTTTTACCGCCAAATGTCTGTTAGTGAAACCCAAAGCGAAGCTTTTCTCCTTGCTGTGCTGTAGTTTTTTAACACCATAATCTAACTGCTGAAATGTCTCATCAGCCTTCATTAGTGTCTATAGTAGTGACTAAATCAAGCAAATCATCTGCATTCATGATCTAAAACGTGCAGGAAATGTGCTGGAAGCAGACAACAGGGACTGGCCCGCTACTCTGAAGTTGCAAATGCAATATTCTGGCCAAAAAGGGTGGTGGGGTCTGAGTAACACTTCATTAACCCTGTAAAGGGTCATTTAAGCACATACTGGAACAAGAAGATGATTAAAAAATATGAAAATTTGCATAGTATGCTTTTATTAAGTGACGGGGATGCTGATGTTTCTGAATCCAAGAAGCTTAACTTTGTATTTTCTCCACTCTTTAGTGTGATCCATACATAAAGATTTCACTTGGAAAGAAAGCTCTGGATGACCGGGATAACTACAAACCAAACACCCTGAATCCGGAATTCGGAAGGTGACGTGGTGATTTCTGATCTCTGTGTTATTCCTGTGACTTTCAACAAGGCAGAAAGGAAACTTGATGTGAATTTTTCTTTTATTTTTACATCCAGGATGTTTGAGCTGTCCTGCTTCCTGCCTCAAGACAAGGATCTGAAGATTTCCGTGTACGACTACGACTTACTGAGCAGAGATGAAAAGGTTGGTGAGACGGTCATCGATTTGGAAAACCGGCTCCTGTCCCGTTTCAGATCCTGCTGTGGTCTACCACAAACATACTGTGTGTAAGTTTAGTTTCATTCAAGCTGAATTTCTGTAGTTTGGACTTATTTATGTGTTGCTTTTATGATCAAGCCTATGAAGTTCCTTTAATTTCCTTTTTAACAGGTCAGGGATTAATCAGTGGAGACATCAGCTGAAACCTTCCCAGATTCTCCAGAATGTGGCTAAAGAAAGGGATGTTCCTCCTCCACAGATAGAAGAGGATGGCTGCTCACTAATCTTTTCAGGAAAACAATACAACCTGCAGGAGTTTGGTATGTTTACTGTCCTGCTTCTTTTAAGATTCTCACAGACTTACTGCTATGAGACTTCTTCTTGGTTTAAGTATTAACCTGCAGTGTTTCTCACAGAGACAAAACCTGTGACTAACCCACACTTGGGACCAGCCAGGGAGAGGCTGGCCCTTCATATTCTCAGAAAACAGGGTTTGGTACCAGAGCATGTTGAGACCAGAACCCTGCATAGCTCTCATCAACCAAATCTGTCCCAGGTACAAATGAATCACTGCGATGAACCGTTGTGTTTAAATCCAGATGTAATCTGGCACTTTATGATTATTGCAGAGGTTAAAAGAAATGATCTGACAGTAATTATTTTTTACAAATTCAGGGGAAAATTCAGATGTGGGTCGATATTTTCCCCAAGAGTCTCGGCCTGCCTGGGCCTCCATGTGTGATCGCTCCTAGGAAAGCCAAGAAGTAAGCAAGTGTTCACATTTGGATCATGTGTAACTTTTTCTTCTCAAAATAATTTGAACATTAAAACGTGTTGTAACTGTACACCTGAAACAGGTATTTCCTTCGAGCCGTCGTTTGGAACACAACTGATGTCATTCTGGATGAAACCAGCATTACTGGAGAAAACATGAGCGACATTTATGTCAAAGGGTATATCACGTGATTAATCCTCAAAATCTGGGGTTCGTCGTGGTGCACCATCGAGTGTTCAGCAGACTCTGTAGGAGCTGCTAATCACTTGTGTTACAAATGTTTAGTGTTCAGGCAGGAAAATGTCTTAAAAGGGCAGGAAACGGGCACGTGTGATGGTTGCTAATGCTACAACAGGCTAAAACGATGTAGCATAAGGTTCCATGCAGGTTGAGTTAGCATTAAAGCTAGGCTGGTGTGCCTGTGCTAAGCTGACTGAGGCCCAATTCCAATACTTGCACTACGGTCTTCTGTGAAGTGCACTTGGAGAAAGTGCGCAGTAAGGTTACTAGTGCTTGTACACGAGTATGCCGAACTGTGATTGGGGGGGGGGGGCATCGCGTCATCGACTGACGTGTTGCTGTTTGTGCTACTAAAAAAAAATCTTTATTAACAACTTTCAAACAAACAAACAATTATTTGACAAAATGTACAATCATTGCTGCCCACATTAAAACTCAGAGTATGAATAAATATTATTAATTGTCCTGAAATGAACTCCTTTTGTTTGAAAATACATATTTTTAGAAAAGGCACTGAGCTATTGCTCCTTTTTCTCAAAATTCCCATGCAGCAATGGATTGTGGGTAATATACCTTTCGCCGAAGTCCACATCAATGCGGACTTGGGCGAAGTGCAGATCAAGGGTGCAAAGGGGGCGTGGTCAACTTCAGCACTTGAGAATCGACACACCCTAGCACCCGCACCCCTGGACGGGAACGTACAGTTGAAGGGCGCAAGGGTGGAAGTATTGGGATTGGGCCAAAATCAGCGTGTTATCCTGCAATGCATGCTGGGAACTGGGGCACATTCTGATTGACTGACAGCTCCCCCCAGTGGGTACACAACACTATGGGTCACGGCTACTGAATTCTAGGCCTCGAGGGCCGGTATCCAGCACGTTTTAGTGATTTCCCTGCTCCCAACACTCTTGATTCAATGGTAGAATGACCTGTGCAGCAGCTCATCAGGCTTTGCAGAAGCCTGTTAATCACCTACTAATTGAAATCAGGTGTGTTGAAGCAGGGTTAAAACCAAAGCGGGCTCGATACCAGCCGCTTGAGGCCTGGAATTCAATAGCCATGCTATAGGTCTCCACTCTAGGCTCACTGAAATGATTCGCTTAGCTGTAGAGGCCGACAGAGGGACTCGGGGGAAGAACGTTTATCCACTTTGTATCATAGAACAGGGTCAGATAGTCACATTTAAGCATTTTTAAGTTACTTGAAAATATTTTTACTACATACCCCAGCATTAAGCAGTACTTTAACTTGGCCGTGTTTATATTATGATAGCATCTCATCTGAATATTTAGTTGGATGCCAGGAATGGAGGAGGACAAGCAGAAGACAGATGTCCATTACAGATCCCTGGATGGAGATGGGAATTTCAACTGGAGGTTTGTCTTTGGATTTGACTACCTGCCTGCAGAACAGTTGTGTGTCGCCTCGAGAAAAGTAAGTCACGTATCAAGAATACAGCATTAAACGAAGGCTGGTTGTTTTGATTTATGTGTACATGGACACCATGATGGACATGAACTGCTCGTGTTTCTGCAGGAACATTTTTGGAATCTGGACAAAACAGAATTCAGGTTTCCTCCTAAACTGATCGTCCAGATTTGGGACAATGACAAATTCTCACTTGATGACTACTTAGGTGAAGTTAAGGTTTTATTAAAGTCTGTGTAATAAGAAAACAGCAGAAAAATGTTGCTGAATAGATCTACCATGATGCAGAAAACACATTTACATTTTGGTCATGTTGTTTTGTTGCAGGGTCAATTGAGCTTGACCTCCTCAACCTGGTTCCTCCTGCCAAAACCCCAGAGAAGTGCAGCTTGAAGATGCAGTTGGGGTTGACTGGATCTGCCTCCACCAAAAACTCCCTCTTCAGCCAGAAGTCTGTGCGAGGCTGGTGGCCGTGTCTAACTGAGCAAGACGGGAAACCCACGCTTGGTGTATGTTTGTTTTTTCATACACCTTCATGTTGACTTTTGTTTTCACTCTGGGTAACGTGTTGGATCATTTCATTTGTGCAGGGCAAGGTAGAAATGACACTGGAGATTGTGGAAGAGAAAGAAATGCAGGAGAGACCTGCTGGGAAAGGCAGGCACGAGCCAAACATGAATCCCAAACTGGACCCACCCAAGTGAGAAGTTGCTTCTTTTACGCAATATTTTAGTGAATTCACACAGTGAGTCAAACTGTTCTAATGGTTTTTTTTTTCAACAGCCGTCCTGACACATCATTTTTCTGGTTTACAAACCCTTGCAAAACCATGAAGTTCATCGTGTGGCGCAGGTTCAAGTGGGTTTTCATCGGAGTGATTCTTCTTCTGCTGGTTATCCTGTTCCTTGGGATCTTGTTCTATTCACTTCCTGTACGACTTTTAATAAATAAATTACATTCATAAAAACTATGATCAAAATTTCTGTAAAACTCTCTGTGCTCCTATTTTAATTGTTTAGTTAGTAAAGTTGTTTTATCCCAGTAATACAGAGGTCTGTTCTGTCATTCACAGAATTACATCTCCATGAAGATTGTGAAGCCTTTTTCCTGAAAGGCGTCAACAAGGAACAGAAAGCCTTCCTGCAGCAGAACCTACAGCCCTGTTCTCAGTTATTACCATGGCTATTACCCATTACAACTAAACAATAAATCAAATAATCAGCACGCTTTGACATGCAAATTTCTTATACAGCTAATTCAAAATGGTGTTTGTTATGCAGATTTTTTTTACTATATAAATAGTAACACGTTAAGGTTTTTAGTAGCAAAAATTGTTATTGTGATTGACATTCCCTAAAGTTCTAAAAACTAACTTTAGTGAAACTCTACAGTCCACTCTCAGTGATTTGGAGACATCGTCAATGACATATGTTTTTTTTTTACTGAATAAACATGTCATTTTATGAGAAAAATTTCATTCTGCTTTCATAAAAATATTAAAAAATTCTGTTATGAAGGCCTATCACTTATTAAACTATTCTGTTTTTATTTTTTGCTTGTTTGTTGATTGAAATTCACCCGATTGACCAAATTAGGAATGGAGATCACATAAAAGTAATATGACTTGTTGGTGGCAACAAACTCTTGTCTAAAAGGGACAAGTTTTATTTATGCCAAGTGATGGAAACATGAAAACTCAACGCTTCACACTTTTGAGAAAAGTGATCTTTTTCTGCTCTCTGGCGGACAAAAGCTGTTACTACAGCATTCGCTTTAAGCTAAATAAGACGTAACTGATTAGCACATCTTGTACGTTCTTTCAAAGTAAAACCACATTTAAATTTCTGTTTTTTAAAATTGGTGTCGCTAACAGCATAATTAGTCTAGATAATGAGAAAGCCAGAACGTCTTCACTTATACAAACTACAACTTAAGTCAATAAATGTATCTTAATTGTCTGTGTTAAGAGTAAATCAGCCAGCTAAAACAGGAACTATCAGCAGCTAGCCAAGCACAACAGACTTCACAGATCATTCTCCCAACACGGCAAAAATTTGTCCACTGTAGATGTAGAAGATTTTTTCCATCCATCTATTTCATATACTCGCTTGTCTACTCAGGGTCCGGGGAGGGGTGGGGGTGGGGGTGGGGGTGGCTGGTGCCTGTCTCCAGCAATCTCTGGGCAAACAGGAAGGGTGGGCCGGGTATACCCTGGACAGCCAGTCCAACATATTCAGTTAAATGTGAAATCTAAACAGAATGTTAAATCCAAATCTAAGTGTTAGGTCTAAATGTAAATGTAAATCTAAATGTTCAATCTAAATCTTAAAAATAAATCTAAATGTAAAAGTTAAAGCTAAATATTAAATGTAAATGTTTAATATAAAACTGAAGGATAAATTTAAATCTAAATGTTAAATTCAAATGTTAATTGTATACCTAAATCTTTAATCTAGATCTAAAAATTTGATCTAAATCTTTGTTAAATGTAAATGTTTAAATTAAACCTAAAGGTTAAATCTATATCTAAATGTTAAATGTAATTGTTGAATAAAAACCTAAAGGTTGATTCTAAATCTGAATGTAAATATAAACCTAAAGGTTTAATCTAAATCTAAATGTTTTAAATGTAAATGTAGCCATCTGTGTTTGTGCCCACAACAAAGGTTGGCCAAACGTGCTCGCCTTCACTCCACTTTCTATTGCACTAGACACTGGCTGTGCAGCGCTTCACTGGGCATCTCAGCAATGATAATAGCACATTTCAGTTATAATACATATGTAGAATACACTCTCAGAAATAGATGTACGAGAGAAGGACATTTTTGTACCTATAGGTACATTTTTTTAAAATGTTCCCTTAAAAGTACAATACTGGTCTTTAAAAGTCCAGTATTGTACTTTTAAAGGTTCAATTTGAAATAAAGTACAAATCTGTACCATTTTGACCTGTACTGCAGTGACAGTAGCAGAATGTGGTAATGGGTCAGCATGGGAAAATCGAGATGGGCCTGGTTAATTGTAAAATTCATACGAGATGTGAGTGTGCTCATAAAAGCTACATGTTATAATCAAATCTGTTGGTCCTCTCTGTACATAAATTATCCTATGATGCAATTGTGACAGTGTGAGCGTCCTGTCACAGTGTCCCGATTGATCATGAGCCCTGGCTACTTGGCCAAGTAGATGTCCCTTTGGCTGACTGGTTAGAGAGTATGACTCTCATCCGGGAGTCTGGGAATCGAATCCCACCCGGGCCCTTGTTTCTCCACCTTGCCACACAAAGAATATCTGTAACCTCCCTTTGTGTAAGTTATGTTAAATTATATTTTTAAAAAAACACACATACACACACAATGGCATGCAGGCACAACCAAATGATGTTAAAAGAAATTGGTCCATTTCCAATTTATTAAGTTCCAGCTATAATTTTTAATGTTTTACATCTTGGTTGTTGCATTCAAAAATGTGAAATCATTCTACTGTTATGTTTAGCCATTTACTTTTTTGCTTTTACTACATCCTAGAATTGTTCATTAATTGTGAGGTTTTTTTTTTATTTGCAACATCAGGTTAACCGAGGTTCTTTGGAAGTTAAAATGTCAAGCAGATTTTTATGTTACGGTGACTACATTTTGTAAATTACAAATATAGTTCGCCAAGACAGCATAACGGTTTCTAAACAACTGCGCATTGATACCACAAAGTTGTATTTTCATGTGTCAAGTTCGCAACGCGCATTAATCCCAAAGGCTGAAAAGCCAGCAGCGATGAGTGCTCCGCCCATCCCCCACCCCCCACCCCCCCCACCCCGCACTGACTAGCATTGATGCAGAAAATGACTCTCAGGGGGTTATCAACGGAGGAGCTCCTTAAAAAGTTGATGGAAGAAGGCATTGATGTGTCAGACGACGAGGCGCAAAGATTTAGAGGTAAGTCGGGTGTGATTTTGTGTTTTTATAAAAATTACAACGTGTAATTTTACAGTAGTTAGCGAAAGTCCGAAGAGCTACATTTCACATGGGTGAAAGCTAGCAGTTAGCTAAGTTTTAAACAAAGAAAGGTACAAATGTGGACTATTTAGACTGTTGGTGGAATGTTCAAAGTCTGTCTGCCCGCGAGTGTTTTATCAATAAATAGTGACTAACCCTGTACAACAATGTAAAAAAAATCAATAATTTCTCAAAACATGCTAGTATGTAAATATAGCTATTAACAAAATCGTTTTCTAAGCAAATTTATCACATCCAACTTGTTTCCCGCTCAAAGGGATTTTAAACAATGGAAGGTACACATTTGTACCATCCCACCTACTTAGTGAGATTTTCGAATATGATGAGAGCTGTAAGCTCTGTGCAGGGACACTGCCTGCAAACACCTGTGATGCCAGCTAGCTGCTGATCAGGGATCGATAAACCAAAATCAAGGAGGCAAATTGTGGGCAGCAAAAACAGACAAGATAGTCTAGGGATCTATTCTATCCACAACTCGGATTATTGTTTTGGTTGCAATGAATAATGCCTACAGCCAACAGGCAATCGGCGCAAGGATTTCCCCACAAAAGAAAAAAATGTTGTGTACTACATCATTTTATTGATGATTTAAAATTCACTTCAGCAATGTATCCGGCTTGCAACGTGATTAAACAATGTCACGATATCGTTGCAGTCGAGTCAGGTCAGGTCACAATATTACCAGTTAATTTATATTAACAATGAATCAAGATAATTTATTGTGACTTCCTTTTGAGGAATATAGACAGATTCACAATGATAGCTTATTGTTGTTGTTGTTATTATTATTATTATTATTATTATGTATTGACCATAATGTCACTTTAAAACTAAATTTGAAAATTATTTCATACTGTACTTTATATTTCAGATAACGATGTAGATGGAGAGACGGTAGACTGTGGACTCACTGAGACCATGGTTGCATATCTTTTTGACAAGTCTTTCAAAAAGCAGCTGAAGTTCAGAGACTTCACAAATCGCTACAAGGAAGTCATCATCACTTTACAACCGGTCAACCCATTTGAAAGTACAGCTGAAGGTCCAGTGTCCCAAGCAAACCAGAGGTAGGTTGTGATAAATGTCTAAATTTGCATATGTACTTAAGTGCTTGTAAAATGGCTAGTTAATGCTGTTTTCCTACTGTATTGCAGTTCTATACCTTCTTGCCGTAGACTGCCTGCAGTTATTTCCATTCCAAAATTCCCACAAGATGTCCAGAGTCGCTTGGATCTCAAAGAACCAGTCCAGAAAGAACAGAAGTACCGAAACAAAATAATTGGGACTCTTTATGAAATGCTGTCACAGTACACAATGTAAGGGTTCCTTTCCGAATAATTATATTAATTTCTTAATATTAATATTGCTGTTGTACGAGAGGCAGAGAACAAATGGTTAGCCCATCTGCCTCTCAATCTGGAGACCAGCGTTTGAGTGTGGTGTGACACACGGTTCTAGTGAACTGGCAATAGTGGTAAAACCATACATCCTGTGTCTCCAGACCTTATCTGGACTATGATATCCAAAGTGTTTATTTTCAAATTTGCTCAAGAGTAAATTTAATAATTCAGGACTGCATTCAATTAATGAAGTTTGGGAGAGGTGTGGCTGTTTGCCCACGCCCATTTAAAAAAATTAAAATCAACTTTAGCTACATTGATTTGACATTGGTCTCCAACATACTATTTATGGTAATAACAATATGATTAGAATAATTGAAGAACAGAAAAGCCCCCAGGAAAGGATAAGAGTAATCAGTGTATTGTGGGTTGTTTTTCTTATGTTTGAAACAGGTACCCAACCCACTCAGACTACATCCAGGTCATCAAAGCCCTGATTGTGAAGTATCCTTTCTTAAGAGATGTACACGGAAATGGTTATGTGAGTACCTCTCCTTTTTTGCTTCTTTTATAGATTATATTAATATAAGGTAAGCATAATTAACTTCTTATATACATTTGAAACAACTAGGACACCTGGCACAGCCAACTCAAGAGAAAGTTCAAAGCAGAACGGGCTCCCCTAATCAGCAACGAAGAAGTGAACCGGATTAAAGAAAAGTTTGGACGCACGCAGAAACATCGGACCACAGAGGAATCCAGCAGCTCCTGTCTGAAGAGACTGAAGCCCTCTCTCGTAAGTCCTCACACCCTGAGCCTTTAAGAGCTAAGGTAACATATGTAGTCTTAATATGTTCTCTGTAAAGCTAAAAGTAAACATTAATTGAAAGAAACATTTTAACATTAACATAGAAAAAGGAACTTCACAGTTGATTTAACAAAAGTCAGCTCAACTTGCAATTCCTATTCAACATTTTTGCATTTTTTTTCAAAGCATTTGGTGTACAAATTACCACATTTCGAGTAACATTAACTTATCAGATTTTACTTATGATAATACTGATATCTGCTTTGACAAAGGATTCGTGCTTTGTGGGGGAAGATGCAGCCTCCGTTGATGCTCATATCAAGGTACTAAATGATCAGCACAAGAAGCTACATCCTGACACAGCACTGGTGAAAGACCGCATGACAAAAACCTTTGCATGGAGACGTCGAGAGGTAGCTGAAGGAATGTGTACTGTGGACCTATTAAAGAGATATCCATTCCTGGGGACACCCACAGGGGTAAGGATTGTTAAGATGATTGGGGAATAAGCTAATGATTTTTTGTCTCTAAATCTGATTATTATTTTCTGTACTAACAGATTAATCAATCTGTTTTTTTATCTTTAGAATGTTTGTTCAAGGGTTAAAGCACTTTACATTTATCTCCAGTCTGTGTCTTTAACCCTCCCACTGTCTTTATGGGTGACCCCATGAGGAAAGTTGGCCATTGAGCAGGATTGATGGTTTATCCCTTGAGGTCCACGTGGCAGGGGTGAGGTGGTGCTCACTCCTCACCCCTGTCACATGGACCTAAGGGATAAACCATCAACCCTGCTCAATGATCAACTTTCCTCGTGGGGTCACACCCATTAGGACAGTGGGAGGGTTAAACATGTCAAAAGTTTAAATCCTCAATGTAAAATGTAATTCTTTTGTCTATTCTGCTCTTTTCATTTCCAGTTGTGTGATGAGGTTGATTTAATGCATCCTTGCCAAGACAACATCTGTCGCCGCTTTAGCGAAAACTTCACAGCTGTTCTTCAAAATGTTCTTCAAATGACCAAGGATTTGCCACTGAAGAAGGTCTACATGGAGGCAAGAGTGAATGCACTGGCTGAAGACATTACAGGTGCTAATTTGACCTCATACAAATAGTAAATTTTGTGACAATTCATTTGCTGTCTCTTCCAGAGATAATTGATGTACCATAGTGCCATGTCAAGAGCATGTTAATGGGAATTTGCATGCTATCAGAATCTAATGAAGTGCATTTGCATCCGTATGACCTAGGAATTGACTTCAAGGGGGCACTTCTCCTCTTGCCATCCATCTTCAAGGAGAAGATAGAAGATTTCATCATCCTTGGAGAGGTAAATGCATGATGCCATGCATAGCCTTTGGCCACAAGTTTCATTCTCGGTGTTTTGTTGGCATGGAGCTGAATTCAGCTGCGATTCAGCATCACAGCTAAGCTAATGTAGGGGAAACACTGCTGTTAATCCACAGTGCTGCTGTGCTCTTGGGTTTTGTCTGGTGTTTAGACCGACCGACCGACCGCTCGCCCGCCCACCTGCCTACCTACCTTTATTGTCCCCTTAGGGAAATTCTTCTTCACAGGCACTGTCACTGTCAGGGGTGATTGCTTTTGCCCCTGAATATTATGTCAAACTTTAGCAGGTTATCAAACACTACCACAACAGTCATTGGTCAAGAAGTTTGTTTGGAGTAGGGGCCATGTTTACAGGTTATCAGAATAGACAGTTTTGTTTTGCAGCAAAAAAAGAAGGTAATTTGAGGAATCTGTTGAAAATCCACTTGGCACATATTGCTCAAACATACTGTATACTAATGTTTTTCTTCCTCTTCTGCAGAATACTCCCACGAGTCCATACCCAACCATTCGAATGAAGGATAAGAATTGGACAGCTGCCCTCTCAAGACAGTGTCGCGGTGTTGTGACAGTTGAAGGAGTGGATGTTTGCTCGTGCCGCTCGCTGGATGAGGCCTACATCTCAGCATTCTCCAGCTTCTTCGTGTTCAACATGACCTACCCTGCATACTTCAAGAAAACACTTGTCTTTCTTCAGAACTGCATTGTCAACATAGGAGACCAGGGAGACAAACCCCTTCCAGTAAGTGTCACCAGGGTACTTAACCAACTCTATTAAAAATGCCCCCACTCTACAAATGTTCAAAATGTTCAAAAAGGGCATTTACTCTGAGGAAGTTGATTACACATGTTGGGTTAGTACACGCACATGAGGCTCATTTCAGCATCACTTGTGGAATAAATGACTGCCAGGCAGCTTTTTGCAAGTATCACTCTTTTCGACGCCATGTGTATCGCAAACACAAACCCTCTGTTTTGAATAGCCTTGAGGTAGTTGAAGATGGATTTGAAAACCATGCACACAAAGAGGTTGAAGACACACACACACACAGTTCGGACGAGTCACACACAGTTCAGCAGCCCACACCACCTAGTATGGACAGTTTGCTTGATAATTTAGGAGATCATTTATTTAGCTTTATTCTCAAATGTACTGAAAAAAATAACCTTCCACACACTGTTCAGCAAGACATCGTTGATGATCTTAGTTTTCTGTTATGTTTTTTTAAAGAAAACTACGACTCGTTTATTCGTTATCATTTGGAAAAACGTGGTTTCCGCCTCAGTGATTGTCCAGAACTTGAGCAGGTTTTGTCTACTTCAGATTTTTTCCAGAAAGCATGTGATTCAATTCGTTCACCATTTATGATAAAAGAACACTGCAAATCAAAAATGAACATGACAGAACCTATCAGTTACACAGTAAGAGACCATTCTGGTGTGAAAATTGGTAGTTATTCGTATGTTCCAATCCCACAGGTATTAAACAAATACTGTCAGGTGGAGGATGTGTGGGAACAAATTGTTCTGGATAACCACAGAAATCAAGATGATGATGATGTTATGACTGATTACAAAGACGGCATGTATTTTAAAGACCACTCATTTTTCAAAGACCATCCTCAAGCTCTAAGACTTCATTTTTATGAAGATGAATTTGAAATTGTGAACCCACTTGGTGCAAAACGAAATAAATACAAAATCTGTGCATTTTATTATACTATAGGAAACGTAAGTGGAAAACATCGCTCAAAGTTAAATCACATTCATTTAGCCTTACTGGTTCGCCATTCACATTTAAAAGAGTGTGGGCTTGAAACTATACTTCAGCCCTTGATAACTGACTTGAAGATGCTGTCCACAGTGGGTTTCACTATCTGTGTCAATGAAGTAGAGCACACAGTTCATGCTGCTCTTGCTACCATTTCATGCGACAACCTTTCCGCTCATATGATTGGGCGTTTTTCAATGTCTTTCAATACAGGCAGAATATGCCGATTTTGTATGGCCTCGCACTCAGAGATACAACAGCACTTTTGTGAGGACCATTTTGTTATTAGAACAGCCAAAGTACATGAGTACCACATAAACTGTGTGGAAAACAACCCAGAGAGTGCTGCTTTGTACGGTGTGTATGGTAAGTGTGCATTTGATGCACTGCCTTATTTTGATGTGACCCAGTCTCTTCCCCCAGATGTAATGCATGACTTGCTGGAGGGGGTTATTCCTTTGGTAACGAACTTGGTCATTTGTAAAGCTCACAGGGAAAAGCACATCACCATAAATGAAATCAATGATGAGCTGAAAAATGTGAAGTTTGGGAGGAATGACAAGCTAAACAGACCATTGCCACTGACGGAAAAGATGCTTCGACATTCTAACATAGTTGGATCAGCCAGTCAAAAATGGTGCCTTTTCAGGCTCTTGCCTTTTTTAATGGCCCACCATATTCCACCTGGCACTCCATATTGGCATGTGTTCTTATTATGTTCAGAAATCGTAGATCTTGTAATGGCTACAAATGTGAGAAAAGATGAGCTTGCTCATTTAAACCTGCTTATTCAAGAATTTCTTGAAATGACTACAGAAGTCTTTGGAAATGTTTTAACACCCAAATGTCACTACCTTATTCACTACCCAAGGCTGATTTTGATGTATGGCCCTCTTCGCCCTTTGTGGTGTATGAGATATGAAAGCAAGCATCAATATTTCAAAAATGTAGCGAGTAAATGCAAAAACTTTGTAAACATCACTGCAACCCTTAGCAATCGTCATCAAATGAAACAGTGCTGGGAGTTTTCTTCAGATAGGTTGCTTGTTGACTTTGAACATTCACTCAGCACAAGTGTCAGTGTGCCATTTTCATCTCTGCCAGGTGACTTAAAGAATGCTCTGGAAATGAACAAAAGTTTTACAGATGTGTGTTTTCAGGATAAAGTGCTTCAGCGTGTGTCTGCTATATCTGTCAGCAGTGTCAAATATGAACTTGAGGATGTTTTTGTAGTTGGCCATGTACATGCTGAAGCCATACCTATATTCTTTAAAATTAAGTATATTTTGAATGTTGATACTTGTTGGGTATTGTGTGGGAAACTGTTACTTCCTTGCGCTTATGAATGTCATTTCCATGCTTACCAAGTGGCAGTTGACAATGACTGGATCCTGTTCAATCCAGGAAATGAGTTAGACTTTCAAGCTCTAGACACCTATTTAGTTGATGATAGGCTGTTTGTGTCCTTGAGGTATTCTGTGTGATGTGATTGTAAGCACATTTCCCACTTTGTCTATATATATATATATATATATATATATATATATATATATATATATATATATATATATATATATATATATATATATATATATTCTGGCTTGTTGAAGTAGAGCAAAACATTTGTGTGGACAGTTTTTTAAATGCATGCCATCTCTGTGATCCGTCAAAACACTGTGTTCAGGTGTTTAATGTGATTGTTTACTTTTTTTTAAATGAATGTATTTTTCCTGACATGTTGTATGGCAATATACAAATGTAATGAAGGATGTATTCCTGTGGTTGTTGAAATGCTTTGATGTAATTGTATTATCGAAAATAAATGGTTAAATAACCAAATATTTTGGAGTATTGGGGGTACATTTTTGTCTCTTTAGGTACAAAATAGGTTGTCGCTGGGGGGGTACCCTCATAGGTACCTTATTGTACCCTTTTCAAGGGAACATTTCTGTACTATAGTTTGAAGGTACATTTATGTCTTAGGAAAGTACATGACTGTACTTCAGATGGTACAACTTCATAAGGTACAAAAATGTACCAAGCCTAAAGGGTACAGAAATGTCCCTCAAAAAGGAACACCCCCAGTGACAAGCGTTTGTACCCTTTTTGGTACACTTTGGTACCCCTATTTGTTTTGATTGTGTTGTTAATTCTTTCCCTGCTTGGGTCTGGTAATAGGATGTAATAACCAGTCAAACCTGAGGAGAGACAGACATGGCTGCCAGCAATTTATGAGCTAAATATAAAAAAAGTCTGCTAAATATTTTGCACCAGTAATTTTCACTTGGAATCCCAAAGTCTTCACAGTAATGGATTTCTTGTTCTGCTAAATCAATTAAATTTAAAAGTGAAGATTTGTCGCCCTCCAATGGCAAGAACCTGGTACTACTTTGTGGTTCTGGTAAACCACGGAGTAGAAAACACTTTAGCCTCCTAATCGCAATAAAGATGGAAAACATAATCTAACATGTTTTGCCCAGTTGGAAATTATAATGTGAAGGAGGAGGAGTAGAAGGACAAGACAGAACAGCATTTAAAATGTACTTCATTCATAATTCTGTAAATTATTTAAAAACAAAATGACGTTTTTTGTTGCAATAGGAAAACTCACACTAACCGTCTTTTTATCTTTCTTTTCTAGCTAAAAAACACTTATCTGGATACTATATGAAACCACTGATGCACCATAAAACAGAACCCCCACATCTATAGGGTTTGATAAAACATACAACACAGCTTGTGTCGTTTTAACACACTGCCAATGTAAAAAAGTTCATATTTTAGTTAAGTTTTGCATGTTTTTTGTTTTATTACGTTCAAATGAATTTCAAAGCAGTTGTGACTTCTTGCCTATCTCCAGCAGTCTCTAGGTAAGCAGGCGGGGTACACCCTAGACAGTCCATCACAGGGCAACACAAAGACACACAGGACAAACAATCAAGCACACACACACACACACACACACACACACACACACACACACACACACACACACACACACACACACACACACACACACACACACACACACACACACACGCACGCACGCACGCACGCACGCACGCACGCACACACACACACACACACACACACACACACACACACACCTAAGGACCATTTTACAGAGACCAAACAACCTGACAGCCATGTTATTGGACTTTGTGAGGAAGCCGGAGTCCCTGGAGAGAACCCACGCATGCACAGGGAGAACATGCAAACTCCATGCAGAAAGACCCCAGGTTGGCATGTGAACCCATGCAGAACCTTCTTGCTGCAAGGCACTAACCACTGCATCACTGTGCAGCCGTTCTTCCTCATCTAAACAAATTCTCCTTCCATTTTTGCTGCTACTGGAACATTTGACCAAGTCCACATTTTGCCAAAAATCCACAAATTTATTATTTACTCAATGTTTTGTTGTAATTTACAGCAAAAACTGAGGACTAACACAGGTGAGGAATTTAAACCGCTGACAGTAGTGGCTGAAAAGTAACAGTTAAAAATCAAAATGTTTAGTTAGTTGTGTGTGTGTGTGTGTGTGTGTGTATTTTACTGGTGGTGTAGTAGCTCAGCCATGGTGTTAACCAACCACAAGCCTCCAGCATCTATCTGAAATGTCATTAGGACACTTTTGCTTCTAGCTTCCCATGGCTGCAGAGCACACTTAGGCCTGAACGTATTCATGATGGTTTAAACCACTTCCTATCAAAATCTTCACCTGACTCTGCAGCAGTGCATCCAGCTCACTCTAACTGCAGACATGAAAATGTGTGAGAACGGTCTCGTTTAGCAGGCTGATTCCCATTATCAGCGATAAATTAGAAGCAAGCCTGCTTGTTTTTGCATGATTGTGCATTTATGTTTAAACTGTAATTACAGGAAATGACTTAGTGGAGCAGTTAAAAAATGAGATGTCCCGAGTTATTTTGTCCATTTGAAGTTTGAAGGTAATGGTTTGACCTGCTTCACCAGAGATTTAATGAATGGAAAATTTAAAGGGGGTACTGGGAAATTTTTCATATAATTTTCTTGAGCCAGTGTGTGCTAAAATTAGTTAATGAAATGACACTCATATCTCCACACCATCTGTGGCCAGCATGCCGCTTTTGCAGCTTCAGAGTGCCGATCCGGTCTGTTGGACTGAACTGACATAAAATTGAGCTAACATACCTGGCGCTGCAGTCTGCTTCCAGCTATTTATAAATAATTAAATTCTAATTTTAAAATGATTTGTATCCAAATAAATAGTAAAACTGGCTAATGATGAATTTGATCATCATCTACTTTATCATGTAGACTGAAAACTTTTAAAATGTTATTTTTCATCCTCGTTTTCTTCGAAAACTGAAACATTTCCCAGAATTCCCAGTAGGGGGAGCAGTCCCACCATCATACACATCCCTGTCTTCTTGCTTTGATGGATTCTATTAAGGGCTAAAACTCAAAATGTGCAATTACTAAAACAAAACAATCATCCCTACAGTTCTGAAGATATTAAGCTATAATCTTATGCCCAACATTGAAAAAAAAACCCAGATTGTTTTAGCTGACACATAAACCTCAAGACTGCATTTGCACATAAAAATAAAACAACGTATAGCTCTAATTTTAAAGATAAAGCTGCACAATTATGATCGTGATGTTACTGATATATTTATTTTTCCACATGCTCCCTAAATCCTACCGACACGGGAACTTTGTGGTAGACATAATGCGTGAGCAGCAATGATTTTTGCTGCTCTCTGCAAATAGCGTTGTCCTCTCAGCTTTGTCTGTGCATCTGTCACTAGTAATTAGAAGCTGATTAAATTATGGAAGAGGGTGGAAAATGATGAGGAATAAAAGAAACAAAAGGACCAGAAACCAAGAAGTTGGTAAAGCAAAAAAGATCAATGAACAAAAGGGGTAATGGAAGAACAAAAATAAACAAGACATTTTAGCCAAAGAAAAGATAGAAAAAAAAACAGGCATGTGGTGGTTAAAGAGGAGGAGTAGGAGGAGAGGACCGAAGAAAAGACGAGAGCAATGAGGAGCATCAACTTGCTGGTAGCTGTCTTCCTTTCGGGTAATCTTCTTAAAATAGAATTGATTATACAGACCCTTTTAGACTCCAATAACCACTTGTTAAATCGTTGTGTTGTACAGAGAACAGATCTTCCTCTTTTGTTTCTCACTCACAGTCTATCCATAGCCTCTGATGGGGCTTCACAGAAACGAAGTATAAAACTCAGCGTGTAATTTTGCTGATAAGCCAGATAGAAAATGTTGGACCTCCTGGATGTAAATCCGGAGGCACTTTAGAACATCAATAAAAGGTATACTGTCGTCCACAAAGGTTTTAGGA